TTTCTTTTTCTTTTATGGAGGACCTTTTTTTTTATTGGGTTTTTTGTGTAATAAGGCTCATTTTCTTCCAGTTTTCAAATTTTCTTCTACGTATTGGGTTTCGAATTTTTTCCACCAAAAAATCTTAGTTTTTAAGGAGAGAGTTTTAGGGTAGGTTTCTTCTTTGTGCTGATGGATTTCGGGAATGTAGGCCAAAAGCCAGCTTATTCCCATAATTGAGCAAAATTTTATAATTCTTAGATGGGGAGGGTATTGGGGAGTGAAACTTTTATATTTTTTGTACATTTTCATAATTTTTTCTGGAATTATGGATTGGACAGGGCATATTTGGTGAAACCAATCAACAAACCAGTTTGGTAAGGTATTAGGTACTTCCTTTTTAAAACATATATACCATGAATGCTTAGGGTTGGTATCAAATAGTATTTTATTCTAGGCTTCTTAGTAATCAAAGTAATTATAAGAAGGGGGTCAAAGGGCCTCGAAAAGCTTTTATCTGTAAAAGGGTATTGGTTCCATTCTTGGTATGAAATGATTTTAATAATGCGTAATTTTGAATAACTAATAATAGATGGATCTCTATCATTAGGAATAGGGGTTATTTCTGCAGATCCTATATCTATCAGGATAAATTGGTAAAACCTTTTAGTCTTTTCCAAATTTTCTGACTTAGGAATCCAACTCCATCCTGGAGGAGCTAGTTTTCTATGTATTCCATAAACATCTCTAGGATTCTAGTCTTCTTCTAAAGTGATAATCTTTTGACATCCTTTTTGATATGAAATTCTTTTTTAGGAGTTTTTTCAAGGGGAGGATGTTGAGGGATTTGTGGTGTTAGGGGGGTGAATCTATTAGGTTGAGTGGTTATTGAGGTGAGAAGTTTTTGAGTGGTCATGATTTTCGAATATAATGGGGCAAAGTCGTCTAAGGACAATGTAGAAGACTTTTGGCCTTTTTCTGTTTTACTTTTTTCAGTTGCAACTGGGGTTTTAGAGGGGGTTGCCATGGGTGTGGCCCTGCAAAAATTCTCTAGTTAGGAAATCGAGGTGTTGAATTTTCTTTTCCTTTAATAAATTCTATTTCAAATTCAAAACAGGATAATAGACTTTGCCATCTTGCAAATATTTGCTTGGAAACTATATTTTTTACGTCCTTTTCCAAAACTTCTTTTGCAGATTTACAATCAATTCTTAATAAAAAAAGTTATTTATTAAATCATGTTGAAATTTGTGTATATTTAAAACTATACTTAAAACTTCTTTTTAATCGTGTTATAATTCTTTTGAGCATCATTCCATATTCCTAAGTGATATCTTACTATTTGTTCGGGGTTATCTTTTAACTTTTGTTTTAGTATACTCCCATATCCTATATCAGAAGCATCATTTTCTATAATTATTTTTGCTTCTGGGTTTTAATATTCCTAGGCATGGCAGGGACTTAACTAATTTTTTAACCTCTATTACTATTTTAGTCATTTCTGTAGTCTATGGTTTGAGATTTTTCCTTAATCTAGTAAAGAGGGGTTTACATAATATTCGAATATTATGTATAAATTCTGATACATAGTTTAAACAACCTAAGAATCTTGTAGTTGAAGTTTATCTTTTATTTCATTAGGAAATTTTTCTAAAAATTTAATACTTCTTTTAATAGGGGTTATAGTTCCTTGATTTATTTCATGAACTAAAAATCTAATTTGTGTTTGGGCTAGTTTTATTTTATTTTGTGATATTACCATTCCATTTGTTTTTATAACATTTTTAAATATTCTTAAATGTTTTTTATGTTGTTCTATTGATTCCTCATTCATTATTTTTTGAAATTCAGAAGGTGCGTTTTTCAAACCCATAGGCATTACATTCCATTCATATTGCCCGAAAGGCACTATAAAGGCGATTTTATATTTGTCTTGTTCTTTTAATTTAATATGATAATATCTATTTTTCATATCAAACTTAGAAAATATAGTGACATTATAAATTTTACATATTATTTCAGTTTTATTAGGCGGGGATACCTAATCTATTTTAAGACCTTATTTAAAGGCTTATAATTTATTACCATTCTTGGTTCTCCTCTTTCTATTTCGGAGACATTTTGTACATAAAAGACAGCACAACTCCATGGAGATTTACTAGGTCTAATAAGTTTTTTATCTAAAAAAGATTTTATTTCTTTTCTACAATATTCTAATGTTTCTTTATTTAATTGTACCAGTTTGACTTTGATGGGAATATTCTTTTCCGAAAATCCTTCTTCGTATGGTAATTCAATTTCAAAAGTGTTTCTATTCCAAAAAGCTGTGGGGACCTCTGCACATACTTCTTTTATGATTTCTTGTTCTATTTTTTTAAAGGTTGTTATTATTTCAGAATTTTTTAATTGTTTCTTCGATTCTTTTGTATGCGATTTCTTGTTTTAAATATTTTATATGACTATTTTTGGCTTCCAATTTTAATAGAAAGTTTTCCTCATTTACGTCAGTAACTAATTGTATTTATTTATTTTTTATTGGTTTAATAAATTCAAATAAAATATTTTTGTCTTATTCCATTTTTGGATACTTCAAAAGGGTATATTAATGCTAGAAATGGGGTTTCTAGAATCATTTCTTTACTAATATCGAGGGTTAGTATAAAAATATTTTTAAAACAGGTTCCTTTATTACATATACTGGGGTTTGACAATTTTAGTTTACCTTTAATTTTTCAGAATTCGTTGTTCTTAATGTTTGTAAAGTTTTTTCATATTATTTAGTGGGTATTAATCCTTCTCGTAAACAATTTATATCAAATTTTCTTTTGATTATTTGTTTTTGTTTATTTTTTCTAGAAGGAAGATCTAATTTTTCATACCCATATTGAATGCAAAAATCTCCTAATTCTTTTGTTCCACTTTCTTGTTATCTTTTAATCTGTTTTTCTAACTTTAGATTATTACATATTTCTAAGGCAATATTTTTAATAGTTGAAATTATTTTTCCATATGTTATATCTTGCAAATGTTCAAGGTATTTTTAGGATAATTTTTCTCGTACTTTTATTGCAAATACTGGGGTTAGTCCCGCAATAAATCTTTCTTTCCAAAATGTTTCTTTACAGTCTGTTCTAGTCATTACCATGATTATAAAATTGTCTACATATCATCTGAAGTCTCTTAGAGTGGGACATCTAATTTACTTCTTATTCTATTTATCTTTTCTTCATAATCTATATTTTCTAGGTTTCCTAGTTCTTCCTCTGGGATGTCTATAACATTTAATTTTCTTACATTTAGTTGTTCTAATTTTTTATTTATTTCTTCTAATATTCTGTCTGATTGATTTCCTATTTTAAATTCTTTATATTCTTTATCGGATAGTCTTATAGGGTTTATTAAAGATTTTTGTAGATAAGTTATTCCTAATGGATTTTTATTATTTTGTGAAATTTCTTCCTCAATAGTTTTTTGAGTTATTTGGTGTAATATTTGATTTGTAAAGTTTAGCTGACTATGCAAATTTTGAATATCATTTATGTTAGGAGTATCACTGATGTTTTCTCCTATCATTTTGAAGGGTGATGCAATTACTTCTTTATTCTCAATGTTAGGAGATCATACTTCTTCTAGAGGAGGGCTTTTACTGATTATTTCTTTATTTTTTGTTTTCCATATTTTTTCAGCATTTTGTAATATATTAATTTGTAAATTTTCTAAACAAAACCTTTGACAAATAATAATCACAATGATTCAAAGAAAGTAATAGTTTGTTATAATTGTGGAAGATACGGACATATGAAAAAAGATTGTAGAGTCCGAGAAAAAATACAAAACTTAGATATGAGTGAAGAAGTAAAAAACCAAATAGAAAAAAATATTATTATACCAATCGAAGAAGATATAAATAATTTAATCGAAACCAAGTAGTAGCGAAGATGAAAAAACCACTAACCCCAGTGAAAATGAGAATGAAGAAAATTGTGATTACATATTTAATATTAATGTTTTAACTACCGAAATTAAAATAACCTTAAAAATGGTAGATAAACTTCCAAATGAAGAAGATAAGTTAAAATATTTAACTAAATTATATATATATATATATATATATATATATATATATATATATATATATATATATATTAGTATTATACCATCTTTTCATCTATATTTTGTCCAAACTCTTTTACTCCCATGATCATAGAAAACACTATGGTTAATTAGATTTACAATCCTTGTATAGTCTAGTTTAAAGGATTAAACTTTATTTTTCTCGGACGATTTAATAAAACTATTAATATAGAGATATTAAATTACATCATAAATTTTAAAGATTAACCAACATAAATAAAAAAATGTAGAATATATATTTACAAAAAAAATAAATTAAGATCATTGTACATATAATACTTTTGATAGTTTGATTTCATGTTAATATTTTAACAACTACATTGAAATACAAGTTAAGTTGATTTTAAATAATTTTTTTATTTACTTTCACATTAAATAATTTTTAATAGTTTAGATTAGTTTTATTTTTAAAAACTTTAAATATTTTTGTCTACTTATTTTATATAATAAAGCATCCAAACGTAAACTACGTTGCTTCAAAATCAACCAATTAGGCTAAATCTTGACTTTTAGTAAAAAAAAAGAAAAATTAAAATGCAAACCACTTGTGGTAATTGGGTCGGATCTATAATACCCAAATACAGCCTAAACCATGGGCCCCGGGTACCCGTTTACCATGTGGTACATGTTGCCTGGTTAGCTTGACATTTCCTTTCCTTATTACGCAAACGTAGGTTCAGGAGGCACAGACTCTCAACCAGCAAATGCCGGAGTTATGCTTATATTGTGCTTCATGTACGCTAATTTCCAAATCTCAGTCGATAGGGGAATGAATATGCGAACGGACTCAGACGGACGCATTTAAATTTCAGTTCTTTTCATGGTTCACTCACATCAGTGAATGTTAGCAAATTCTATGATCTCGTTTTTTTCATCGCCGAAAGAAAATGTCCTCGCTATCTCTTGGAGGTCCTTCCCGCTGCGGCCGAGTTGTAGGTCCATCACTCGACAAGATCATCAAGAACGCCGCCTGGCGTAAGCACTCTCACCTTGTCTCCTCCTGCAAATCCACCCTTGACAAGCTCGAATCTCTCTCCGAGTCTAAATCGTCTTCAGGCGACACCCAATCTCCTGTTCTAGGCCTTTCTTCATCAGATGCCGACTGTGTTCTTCAACCTCTTTTTCTGGCGCTTGACTCTGCCTACCCTAAGGTTGTTGAGCCTGCTCTGGAATGCACCTTTAAATTGTTCTCTCTCGGCCTTGTCTGCGGTGAGATCAATCGCCCTGACAATTCGAATGCTTCACAGTCCAGCGTTGTCTTCAATATGATTGATGCTATCTGTAAGTCGGGTGGCCTTGGGGAGGAGGCAATTGAGCTGTGGGTGCTCAGAGTATTGCTCTCAGCAGTAAGATCCCCAAGCATTTTGATCCGGTCTGACTGTCTCATTCAAATTGTGAGAACTTGTTATAATGTGTACCTCGGGGGTGTCAACGGCACTAATCAGATCTGTGCTAAATCGGTTCTTGCCCAGATCATGACCATTGTTTTCACCAGAGTCGAGGAAGACTCCATGGATGTCTTCCATAGAAGGGTTTCTGTCGGTGAACTTTTGGAATTCACGGATAAAAATTTGAACGAGGGCAATTCCATACACTTTTGCCAAAATTTTATCAACGAGATAATGGAGGCCAGTGAGGGGGCTCCTTTCAAACCATCGTCTATATCACCTCCTATGGAAGTGGAGAAAGTTCATACACCGTTGCCCAAGGCGGCGGATGAAACAGGTACTGACAAGTTAGATAATGAGGCTGGAGCTGATGGAAGTAAAATAAGGGAGGATGGTTTTCTTCTTTTTAAAAATTTGTGCAAACTGTCCATGAAATTCTCATCTCAACAGCACCCTGATGATCGTATCCTCTTGAGAGGGAAAATTTTGTCATTGGAGCTCCTGAAGGTAGTCACTGATACTGGCGGTTCAATATGGCGCGTGAATGAGAGGCAAGTAATATCATACTCACTATTCTCTTACAATCACTATCTATTGAATGTAATTCTTCATCTCAATTATTTGCATAATTCACATAGTAAGAATTTTTATTCTATTCAGGGTCTCTTTAAAGTGAGATTTCACTTTTATAGAGATATGAGAATTAGATAAACTAGTGGATTACAATTACTCACATTTGTCGTCTAGTTTGAATTTGAATCTCCTGGCATGTTTCGTTATAGATGCTTCCACTCAAACCGTTTTATAGAAAAAAAGTCATTTACGTGTCCACCATTTCCTTCTAGTTAACAGGATCAAGGCAAACAATTTGGTGCATATTTGTAGCCCTTATATTGCAACTTCACTGTTTTTCTGAGCTTGTTGGAGAGTGCTTGGTGTGTCCTCTCCTCTGGAGAAAATTTTGAAAATATTTGGTAAATTAAAACAAGACCTTAAAGTTTAGTTGAAGATGTTACAGGGGTAGTCCTTTAGTGGGTTTGGTTGGAGTGGAATTTTCATATCTTAGGAAATCTCTTTGCCCTTGAACTTGTTAGGTGATGGGCTTATATTTTTGGTTTTTATTTACTCATATCTGCTTCAAGAGAACTGTAATTTCTTATATAAAGAGAAGCAGCTCAGCCTTGCCACTGTTTTTCTTTATCTTCCTTGTTGTATCAAGAACTTTCTCTCAGGAGGTATCTTATCCTACTCTAGTTATATTCTCCTTCTTTTCTTTCAAACAAAATTAATTTTCAATAAAAAAATAAAATTCTGTCTAATATGCAACAATTTGAAACTGTAAAAAGGTGGCAAGTTAATTAAACATATAATGCAATAATGCACATGAATTTACCTGCTAAACTGCCCATAATTTCTTTATTATTTGTATTTTCATTTCTCTTTATTGCCTATTATCCAAAAATGTTTATTACCACCTTTACCTTCTTTTTGTTGGTTCAATTTATATTGAAGAAGTTTTGGATGTACCTTGTTTCAGCTACTGATTTATAAATCTCTATATGATGCTCACTTTTCTACTTGTGGTGTTTTAAGGAGTATTTCTTGTATGTCTTTGAATTGCTCTATTTATGTGCCTTTTTAATTTCAAGAAATAAATAAGTGATCCATAGATCTTAGGCGTGGTGTGGTGGTAAAGTAGTCACTAAAGTTAAGACTACTCTCAATATAGGACCCATCAATGTTTTCAATCGATGTCCCTCTCTATTCATAAAAAATATTCTTTTGTGTAAACATAAGATGGATGATTATGTGGTAAAAAATGGCATTGATTAATTACAACAAAGAAGGATTTTCCCACTACGTTTTATTTCATGGATCAAACAACATTATTGTTTTTCAAAGTCAAAATCCTAGTTTTTAGAGAGGTCATTTAGATCTAAGTCCTTTTTAGTTGTTTTGCTTTACTTAGTAGGCCTTTTATTGGTCATTGCACATTGATCATGGCGAAACCATCTCACGTGCAATTCTACCATCTTTTTCCTCTTTAGCAGCTATAGTTGTTGATAATGTGACATAAGCATGCTGTTACATTGATGCATAGCATCATGGCATCTGATAGTCATGGCTAGCCTGTCAAAATATTTTATGGAGTGGCAATTACAATGAGATCAAGCATGTTGTGGTTGTATCAACCATTAGTCCATCAGGCTAACAATGTGCTAAAAGTCCACTTTGCCTACCCATTTTCTTGATTTTTCTGGTGTCCATAGCATTTTGTTAGTTTTGCACTCCTGTGGTTGAACAAAATGTGACAGTCAAACAATGTTTAGATTGCCTCCAATATAGTTTTACATGAAAGCACAAAAAACATAAAGGTGGACTTCCACTTCATGCCCCTACTCGGTTTGGAAATAGGAATATTTTAGGAGACAAGAGTTTCTTTAATGTTTATTTGTCCAAATAGCCCACATACTTGGTATATCTAGCTTCATCAGGTCTTAGAATATAGTGGTACTTTAATTGTTTTGGCATTAAATAACTTTGAAATACTATTGAGTATAAGTAATTAATAGATGTGTTTGTTAAGTCTCTTGGGGGCCTTGGGTATGCTATGTTTTGTAATAGCTTGGTTCATTATATTTGATCCAACTTAAGGTGGAGTGTAAAAATAGTAGCATATAGAGTATACTACTCATCTATGTGTTGTCAATGGCATTGACTCAGTCATATGTGAAAAGGTTCTTTTCCCTAGGATCTTTCTTTTTCAATATTATTGATAATAATTTGTCATCACACCTGTATTTTGCTTTTACACTGTGCAGGTTTCTCAATGCCATCAAGCAATATCTGTGCTTGTCATTGTTGAAGAACAGTGCCCTCTCAGCCATGGCCATTTTCCAACTTCAGTGTTCCATTTTCATGAATTTGTTATCAAAATTCAGATCAGGCTTGAAAAAGGAAATTGGCATGTTCTTTCCCATGCTTATCCTTCGAGTCCTTGAGAATGTTCTTCAGCCTAGTTTTCTGCAAAAAATGACCGTTCTCAATTTATTGGACAAAATATCTCAAGATCCTCAGATTATTATTGACATTTTTGTCAACTATGATTGTGATGTGGATGCTTCAAACATATTTGAAAGGTATCTTGCTTTTGTAATATTTTGCTGTTCTTTTACCCTGTTATAGTCAGTTTTCAAGAACAGAAATGGGCTAATAATTCAGAAAGCTTACATGATAATTAAATTTGATTACCAAAGAAAAAAATATGATAAATCTTGCTAACACAAATTCTTTGGATTGTTTTCATTTATTGATCTGATTAAGTTTAAGCCTAGGAATATCTTCGGAATTGTATGAAACATAGATTTGGGGCAAAGAATTTTTTTTGGTGTGGTTGGTGTCAAATTAGGATTCTTTAAATGTTTTATTCAGGATTTGGAAGATTAGAATTAGTTCTATTGGAAATATAATATAAAAGAGGTTTTTGCGCTAGGCTTTTGATAATTAACATAAAACTTGTCGTTGATGTACTGAGCATGAATCACTCACATAAGATTTTTATCTAATGCTAATTTGTTACACGAAGTAACATGCTGTTGTGACTCAAATATAGTGTCAAATGAAATGAGAATGAGCTAGCGTATCAACACCTGGATTTAGTGTTAAAAGAACAAGATTCCTCACATTTTTTTAGAGAGATGTGGGTAAAGAAGCTAGTTTAGAAGTGTTTGATTAGGTTTGCTACTTGGAATATTGGTACTTTGCCAAGTAAGTTTATAGTGGTGGATACCATTTTAACCTAATTTCTCTAAGTCAATAAACTAAGTCATTAAATTTTTCAGGAACTTTTGATGCCACTTTTTTTTGTTATACAAGAGCGTGGTACGTGAAACTGATTGGTGAAAGACATGAGTCTAAGACTATACTATCTTGGAACTAGCCCTTCTCTATCTAGTTTTGCATCTGCATCTCCTAAATTCTTGCATGATTGCTTGGGTGAAGAAAATGGTTCTTGAGCTTCACAAACTTCAAGTCCTAGAGTGTCACAGAACATGTTAGATCTTCTTCTCCAATGAGAGTTGAAACAAGATGTAACTCTTGTCCAAGTTGTGTCACATCTTTTGGGTTTCAATATTTTGTTACAATTATAAGATGAATATTTTCAATGTACTTGGGTATATTTAATGAAAAATCAATATGAACTTTTTTCTATATTTGTATCTTTCCTTAATAAATTAAAAATTAGTTTGACTAAGTTATCAAAATTTTGATGAGAGAAATACTTCTCTTTTGGAGTTTCTACTCAGATGGCATTTTACATCAGTCTACCTATCCTTATAAACCTTTGCAAAATGATATAGTAGAAAACCAGAGCATTTTAACTAGGAACTAGTTTGGAAATCAATTTATTGTTTCTAAATAATCCAATTTTAATTGAGTTGGTATAAAATTGGAAAAATCGGTACAAAGCCTAGGCAAAATCGATTGGGTTTTTGGATCAAACCGGTCTTGATAAAAAATTATTTTAAAGATAAAAATTTTAAATTTTTATAAACAAAATAATATTTTTCAATTTTTTATTTTATTTTACGCAAGTCACATCAACTTTAAATTACAGTTCTTTGGTTATGTTTTCATCTTACTTTTTCAATTATTCGTCTTTCACTTTCTATTATATTTCATATTTGTAATTGTCATTGTAACTTATGACGATCATGATAACAATCTTCATTATTTTTCTTTCTTTTATAAAAATGTTGTTACAAGTGAACTTATTATGTTATAAAAATAAATCTAGTTGGATCCTAGTTGAACCTTTAAACCTTGAACCCATGTCTTCACATGGTCCGATTTTAAAAATATTGATTTAAATTTCTCGTAGACTATTGTTTGGTGCTAATGTACCAATTCATCACTAGGATGATGCTATTCTTATTGCTTGCTTCCTCATAAATAGTATGCTCTTTTCCTCTCTTGAAAATCATATTCCCGATTCTATTATGTTTCTAGATGTACCTTTATTTCATCTCTCTATGTGTTTTTGGTTGTGTTTTGCCCATTATGTGTCCCTAGGGTTGGACAAGCTATCTACAAAAGTGTTTTCTCAGGATATTCTTGTCTCCATAAAGGGTATTGAAGCTATTATCCAAAAACTAAAAGGTACTACATGTTTGTGTGTATCATCTTTCTTTGAAGAGACTTCTTTCTTTCCTTCTTCCCTACGAGATGCTAGTTCTATCAAACTAGTCTTGCCTATTCCACCAAACAAATCATTGCTATTCCCCCCTCATGACACTTCAAATAAAACCACCACTCAAAATTCCTCTTCTACTCCAAATCCACTAGAACCATCATCAGCCCCTCTGATCACCTACCACCACAAAACATCAAAAACTAGTTTGAAGTTACATGGTGTCCTCTTCTTCAAGTCCTTCACCACCATCTACCCATACTATGACTCCCGATAATAAAGATCTTGGTTGGCCCCTTGTGTTTGGCTTCTTTGGCGGGAAATAGGAATGGGTAGTCTATCATATAAGAAAATTTTACATTATCTTTAACTCAAAACTTTAAGATAATAGATTTGTAGTTCTTTGTCCTTATATATTGTTCATCTTTAGACAATGTGAGACTCCAATTCATACTTAAATCCTAACAATCTTCCCTTCAAGTGTGAGTTCCTTTCACATTGACCCTTACGTCTATCACTGTTCACTAAACATGCTTGCCTGCACCCTTGCTAGGAAGACTTTCACTACAAGGTACATGTGATCATCATTACAAAATCCATTTATTTTTCGAGACTGTTCAAAAGGTATTGAAGTAAAGCAAATGAGTTACATATGGATTTTATTGACCTTGAAGAAGCCAATGATCAAATTTCTAGAGCAATTTCATGGATAGGATTACGTCAAGGATTAGCCTTTACTTGTTTAATCTAGTGTTGAATGTGCTTACTAGTAACATACAAAAGATTGTCCTTAATTGCATGCCTTTCGGGAATGATACAATTCTAAGTGAAGAATCAAGGGAAATAATTAATTTTGAGCTTTGGATACATACTTCGCAAACAAAGGGTTTTTGTTTAAGTTGGAGTAAATAGAGCATATGAATTGTAATTTTAGCAAGCAATAAGAGAAATATTACTTGGAAGCAAAGATGGGAGAAGATGTCACACCACATGTTTCTAAATTTAAATATGTTGGATCAATAAACAAAAAATGATTGGTAAATTAATGAAGATGTCACCACGGAATATGAGCAGGATGGCTAAAATGGAGAAAGACATTAGGGGTTCTTTGTGATTGCAATGGAAAGGCAAAATTTTATTGTACAGCTAAACATCTAAATATTCTCTATGATAGTAAATATTGGGCTTTAAAGAGACCACACGATAAAAATTTAAGAGTATAAAAAATGATGTTAAGATAGTTGCATGGCTAACAATAAAGGATAGGTTACAAAAAGATTGTATACTAAGAGATATTGGTTAGTATTGCAAAAATGAGAGAATTGTTTTAAGGTGGCTTAGACAGTCAAAGGCCATTGGATGCATGCAGAAGAGATTAGGTTGCAACTATTTTTGTATTTTAGTCTTACAACTTAAGCTTTTTGGATTTTTGGCTCATGACATTCTATTAGAGCTTCTATAACCAAATGGTCTAGAGATTGATCCTTGCAGCTCCCATTCTTCAAATAAAAAGTTGAATTTTAGTACAAGGAAGATGGACATGTGAATGATCCTCACTTCAAGCCCAACGGGTTCTTGTGTAAAGTGGTGTCATAGAGATGTAATATAAACCTCTTTATTTGTTTTCATCTTTACAGCTTAAGCTCTTGGAATTATTTTTTTGTAACAAGTTCTGATAAAAGATTATGTTATTTGGAGTTGAATGTCATGATGAGGGCCATAATGTGGGTTTTAGGGTCATACCTGTTTCCTTGCTTGTTTATTGAGAGGTTTGCATGGTGTACTTGGAGCACTGTCTGTTCCTAGAGTTAAAGCTTATTCAAGGTCTGCAGTATGAATCTAGTAGACAGATTTTTATTTACTTATGTTTATTTGGTTTTGCATCTTGTTTTAGTATTTAAACTCTTATAATTCCATCAGATATTTGCAGGATTGTCAATGGTCTTCTGAAAACTGCTTTGGGACCACCTACAGGGTCAACCACAGCTTTGTCCCCAGTACAGGATATTACTTTCCGACATGAATCTGTTAAGTGCTTGGTCAGCATTATTAAGTCAATGGGAGCATGGATGGACCAGCAGATAAGGATAGGAGATTTAGATCTAGTAAAAAGCCCAGAAAGCAGCACAGCAGAAACTCATCTAATACCAAATGTAGAAGAAGGAAATGCTTATGATCATGAGCTACATCCTGATGTAACTTCTGAATTTTCAGATGCTGCCACATTAGAGCAACGTCGAGCATATAAAATTGAACTTCAGGTATGCATTACTTGGCTCTGAGGACAAGATATGGTATATCATCATCATGTTAAACTATCCTCCTATACTAGTGTAGAATTGAGTTATGATTGGTGATTTTACCTCCACAAAAACCTGTATTGTGTATGTGCACAATTATCTTTTCTATCTCTCCTGCTCCCATGAATTCCATTTATACATAACTACATCTTCCTGAGCTACAAATGTTCATATTATGTGCTGATTTTATTTTTCTTTTCTGGGTTAAATGCAGAGAGGCATATCACTTTTTAATCGAAAACCTCCAAAGGGTATTGAATTCCTGATAAGTAACAAAAAAGTTGGTAGTTCTCCAGAACAGGTGGCACTGTTCCTTAAGAACACTGCTGGCCTTGATGAAACCAAGATTGGTGATTATTTGGGAGAAAGGGAAGAGTTTTCTCTAAAAGTTATGCATGCTTATGTAGATTCCTTTAACTTCAAAGGGATGGACTTTGGTGAAGCTATCAGGTTTTTTCTTCAGGGCTTCAGGTTGCCTGGCGAGGCACAAAAAATTGATCGCATCATGGAGAAGTTTGCTGAGCGCTACTGTAAATGCAACCCTAGTTCTTTTAGCAGTGCAGATACTGCCTACATTCTTGCGTACTCTGTGATAATGCTTAATACAGATGCTCATAATAATATGGTGAAAGATAAGGTTTGACCTTGCTGAATCTTTTATATTATGTCTTAGACTCAGCAGTTAGATCATCAGCTTTGTGAATTACTTGGTGTCCAATCTAGTTGTGGTTTCTTTTCTAGCAGACTTAATTACTTAATGATTGGTACATACTATTTTTACTGATAAAAATTGAATATAATAATTTTAATCATAGAGAATTATCCTATAAAGGCAATGTCGTTTATGTGTATTTATTCTGAATACATCTTTGAAAATATCAATAATTTTCTCTTTCCATTTCTTTTATCTTCTTCTGGTAGTTATGGTAAACTATAGCTTTGTGTCAGGGTAAAACAATTATGAATGGTAAAACGGGCTAGGCCCGACAGGCCAGCCCACAACCCGCCTCAAAAATGGTGGGACGAGTTAATAGTTTTAGCCCACTAGTCTATTTTGGCTTGTACCGTCTAGCCTGCCAACCCAACGAGCCAAGGGATGGGTCGAGCAAACTAGACTAGTCCATTAGCCTGCTTTAAAAAAAAATTAAAATAATTATAATTAAAAATATTACATTTTTTTGTGTCATATTCAAATATGTAAATATACTATGATCTTATAATTTAAATTATAAATATTAACCAATTAAGTTTAAATTATTGATTATAATTAAACTATTTTAACACACAAATATAGTATTTTTTTTCAATTTATCTGATAAAAATACTAATTAGTAAATAAAAACTTAAAAAATTATTCATATAATTAAATGTATATTTTTAAAAAAATCCATATAAAATTTTTATATAAATAAAATATTGGTGGGCTGGCCCACTAGCCCGTTAACCCACCTTTGACGGTACGGGTTAAGATCTGTAGTCTGTCCTGATTATGGTGGCCCAAAACGGGATTGACTGTTTTGTCATCCTTAACAACAAGCAATACCTTGAGCTATCATATTTAATATCATTTTGAAAACTACTTGGATATCATTTGATTGTTTATAATCCTTGTATTATTCTATTGTTTTACAACATTGAGATTGTAAGGATATCTTACTATGCCGAATATAGGTTTGACCTGATCTTTTTTGTGTATAATCTATGTTAATGACTTCGCAGATGACAAAGGCTGATTTTGTTCGAAACAACCGAGGAATAGATGATGGAAAGGATTTAGCAGAAGAATATCTGGGGGCCCTCTATGACCAAATTGTTAAAAATGAAATCAAAATGAACGCTGATTCTTCTGCTCCTCAAAATAAACAAGCAAATAGCTTCAATAGATTACTAGGATTAGAAGGTATACTCAATCTTGTGAACTGGAAGCAGAGTGAAGAAAAAGCAGTGGGTGCAAATGGCCTTCTCATTCGGCACATTCAGGAGCAATTTAAATCAAATTCGCGAAAATCTGAGTAAGTTAAGACATTACTCAATGTTAAGATTTTGATTTTTAGGTTTAAATATCACTTTGGTCCCTTAAACATGGGCCTAATTTTCTTTTCGTTCTCCAAATTTAAAAGTGTTTTTTCATCCTCTTATTTGGAAATAGCCCCTTTTGGTCCTTATTTGAGGGCAAAAAATGAACTATTTTCATAGTAGGAACAAAAATGATCAATTTTAATTTGGGAGATCAAAAGGAAACTAAGCTCATATTTGAGGGACCAAAATGATATTTAAGAGTTATTTATATTATTATTATTATTATTTTTTTTGAAGTGTATTTGGTTGCAAAACTACACTTGCTAAGCTCTTTTTTTATTCACTATGTTTTGTTTCTTTTATTTATATACGTTTTGATTTGACTATGCAACATTGGAATATTTTAATGGATTTTTTTATTATTATTTAACACATTTTTGAGAGGATATCGAAGGTTGAGTAAAGATTTTCCTATGGTGATCTAGTTGGTCATATGGACAGAGTCTAGAGTAGAGTATGGTGGACCGCCTAGAGTATAGTAGATGGCCAAATTGTGTACCATGAGGTATGAAAGGGAATAGAAAAGAAAGGCATAAAATGGCTCATTATATAGATATGAAAGGGAGTTTAACAAGATTATGAGATTGGGGATAATGCTAGACCAGTGGAGAAGTACTTATCCCAATGTATGAGTAAGAGAATGTTGGAAGTCCTATATCACTTGTCTCATGTCATATAGTATGGTTTAAATACCTATTAGGCTACTTCACATAGTGCCAATTGGTTTTATGTTATAACCTTAACGGAGAACAAGGGCGACTTACAAAACTAGGCTAATTATATAGATTTTATGCTCATGAGCCATACAATGAAGCTATAAAAGAGAGTAATTAAGCAGTTATTACAGAAAAATAATTTGGTTTTATGTTGGGGATTTTGACTGCAATAGCAGTATACTTTGTCCAGAATATTCATCAATGTGGAAATGCCATAAGGTGGGGTACAAAGAGGTAACTTGGAATGCTTAAGAGGTGAAAGGAGTTTGTCTTGATTGTAGTCAAGAAAACAAAGATATGTAAGATGTGTCACAATTAGAGTGAGCCTGTTTAGGTACATGCTAGAAGAGCTCCTGAAACTTTTGTATTGGAAGTATAGAGCATTTTCAAGTAGAGAAGCTATCAAAAGTTATTTTTGCATTGTATACACACAGACTCAATGTGAACATAAAGCAAGGCACCACAAAACACTTCCATATAACTATGGGACTGCACTAAGTCTTTTTTAACTTGGTCTTGGGTATTCTTTTTCTTACTAGAGTACTAATTAATGTACACCGAAAAATATACAAGTGGTATTCACCCAAAAATATACACGCGGTGTACACCAGCAGACGTTGTTTATCATGTATCTAAACATGGTTAGTTTTGTTTCATAAGTGGTTAACTGCTATTAGTTTTTTCAGTAGCTTCAACATAGTTCACCATGTCTGAAGTTAATAACCTAATAACGATGTTAACCACTTGTAAAACAAAGTAACCATATTTACATATGTAATTAACCACGTGTGGTGGTCAATAGCCTCATGATTATTAACCACTCATGAAGCAAAAGTTGACCATCAATAAACATTTCAATAATCTCATGACTCTTTTAATCATATATTGATAATTGTATACAATCAAGTTTTTTTAGTTTCAATTACTTTTAAAGTAAAATTAATCAGATTTCTACATATAATTAACCACTTTGTCCTTCTTACTAAACATATCCATGAGGCAGATGCCATAATGCATGCATTTGGCAGATATGTCCTGGTTGGGGAGTTGAGAGAAGAAATAAATGTGAAGCAATAGAGGTGGAGACAAACTTTGGAAGCTTGACTTTTGTTTAAGTAAAAGGAAATGAAGCATATGAAATGGAAGTTTAGCTAGAGGTGCACTAATTCTAGCACGGATGAGAAACTTGAAGACTACCGTGCCACAATCATATCTTCAATCATTAAGTATTTTGGTCATGATACAAAATGATATGAAAATAGACAAAAATGTAAACTGAAGGATTCAAGTGCGGTGGATGAAATTAAGAATTGCTTCAGTTGTTATTTGTGATAATAGGAAAGTATTACTCAAGCTTAAAAGAGTGTTTTACTACATAACTATAAGATTTGTGATATTGTGCAAGACTGAATGTTGGTGAACAAAAGCCAACTGGAAGTAAAACTCAATGTTGAAGAGATTAGAATGTTACAATGACATACAGTCAAGTTTGTGGATGAATGCACTTGAGAAAATTAGGTAGCACCTATTGTTAAAAAGAAAAGATGGTATAATCTTGCTTTAGGTGACTTGAGCATTTGTAGAGAAAACCTGTAGAAGTCCCAATATGGGGAGTATATCAGATGAAGTGTAGCTAATAGTGAGACTTATAGGTAAACCAAGTTATAGGGAAAACATTTAGAAAGATTTACAATTAAATAATTTGTCTGTTGATATGATTTATGAGAGGATTTTATCTTTTGATACATGTAGCTGTCCCTACTTGGTGGGAAAAAGCTACAACTATTTTTATTTGTTGTTTATATATTCATTGTCATGTGCTGGCTCTGCATGTTACATCTTTTCCATAGTTGCATTTTTCTTATCCTTGAAGGCTTAAGGTATCTGTTGGAGTATTTATAACATAAGCAATGTTTTCTTTCTATGCATCTCATAGTTTAGACATTCTATTTACCTGTTATTGCAGATCTGCATATCATGTTGTGACCGATGTGGCTATACTGAGGTTTATGGTGGAAGTTTGTTGGGGGCCTATGCTGGCTGCATTCAGTGTAACTATTGACCAGAGTGATGATAGGGTAGCTACTTCTCAATGCTTACAAGGATTTCGCCATGCTGTGCATGTTACTGCAGTGATGGGTATGCAGACTCAAAGGGATGCTTTTGTTACATCTGTTGCCAAATTTACGTATCTGCACTGTGCTGGAGATATGAAACAAAAAAACGTTGATGCTGTGAAGGTAAGTGAATCTTAATTTGGCTGTCATGACATTACTCAAATAAAATAATTTACACAAACTTATTCTCCTTTTACATTTATAGTGAAAGTTACTTATTGCACACCATATATTAGTGTCATTCTATTTCTAGCCATATCTTTCTTCTATCAAGAAAGAAGTAATGAATGGGTCACTTTGATTAGAACATTTTTTGTGTATATGATGTGAATGAGCCACTTAATTTCATGTATATGTCATTGTAATAATATCTTTTATATCTTATTTTGTACAGGCAATAATATCAATTGCTATTGAAGATGGAGATCATCTGTATGAAGCATGGGAACACATATTAACTTGCCTCTCCCGAATTGAGCATTTGCAGCTGTTAGGTGAGGGTGCTCCAAGTGATGCAACCTTCTTCAATTCAACAAATTCTGAAACAGAGGAGAAAGCTCTGAAAACATTAGGCTTCTCTTCTTTTAAGAAAGGAACACTCCAGAATCCAGCCATGGTGGCTGTCGTTCGTGGTAGTTCATATGACAGTACAAGTATTGGGGGAAATGCTTCTGCAATATTAACAACAGATCAGATAAATAATTTCATTTCAAACTTGAATCTACTGGAACAGATTGGGAACTTTGAATTGAACCATGTGTTTGCTCATAGTCAACGGCTGAATGGGGAAGCAATAGTAGCATTTGTTAAAGCACTCTGTAAAGTTTCCATCTCAGAGTTACAGTCTCCAACAGATCCCCGAGTATTTGGCCTCACTAAAATAGTAGAGATTGCGTAAGTTTCCTTGTGGTGTTAAGATAGACGTCCTCTTTGTGCAATGCATTCAGATTTCTCAAGTAATATTTTTTGACATGAAGTTTGCGAAGTGAATCTAAATCATGTACATATTTATGTTAATGGTATATCTTTTAGTATGTGGGAAAGGGGATCCTTTTTCGTTTTCATTAGACCTTAAGAAAGGGATTGTGATGTGCTCTCGGCCATGTTCTTAGCTTGTAGTTGATTATTCTAGTTATTCTCGTGCAAATTTATGATTAAAATTCTAATGATCATTAAATCTACTTAATTTATGACTAGAACATGGTTGCATTTGCAGGCATTATAATATGAACCGCATCAGATTAGTATGGTCTCGCATATGGAATGTTCTTTCAGATTTTTTTGTGTCAGTTGGATTGTCAGAGAACTTATCAGTTGCAATCTTTGCAATGGACTCACTGCGACAACTTGCAATGAAATTCTTGGAGCGTGAGGAGCTGGCTAATTACAATTTCCAGAATGAATTTCTGAGACCATTTGTGATCGTCATGCAAAAAAGCAACACCACAGAAATTAGAGAGTTAGTAGTTCGTTGTATTTCACAGATGGTCCTTAGCCGTGTCAGTAATGTGAAATCTGGCTGGAAAAGTGTTTTTATGGTAATGTTGAAGTTGGCTTGATTCCCCCTCATCTCCCCAAACCCATGCTTTAGACATGGTTTCAAACTATTTGATAAAAAACAATTTTAATATTGTCAAATATTGCTCAATTGTTTTACTAACAAAAAAATTTGATAAGGTACACTGATTGTTTACTATTTTATTAAAGAAAAAATTACATTTGATTACTTGCATACACACCACAAGCATTGAAGGTGGAAATGATTATAATTGTTGTTTGGTTTTTAATTTATTATCATCGAAATATGTGATTTTATTATTTTGTTGGCAATTTAGATAGTCCAAATGATATATTTCAGGAATGAATATTAATGGTCAAATTATTGATATAAGTTGTACCCTACCCACCAAAACAACTTGTTCAAAAGGAAAGGAATACAAGCAAAACTAAAGAAAGGAACATCAAGGATGCATATCTAGTTAAACTATTGAGGGTTTTCAACGATCTAAATGTAATACCCAAGTTTAGTATACCAGCAAATTGTTTTATAATGACATTTAGCAAGTTTGCCTCATAAACCATGTTCAGATTATGGGCCTCATAATTGGAACAATCTTGACTTCTCATGCAATGTTTTTGGCTCTCAGGTTTTCACAGCTGCTGCAGCCGATGAGCGGAAGAATATTGTATTATTAGCATTTGAGACAATGGAGAAAATAGTGCGTGAATTTTTTCCTTATATCACTGAGACAGAGACAATGACCTTCACCGATTGTGTCCGATGCCTTTTGACATTTACAAATAGCCGATTCAACAGTGATGTTAGCCTCAATGCAATTGCATTTCTTCGTTTCTGTGCAGTCAGACTTGCTGATGGAGGACTTGTTTGCAATAAGAAGAGCAGTGTTGATGGCCCATCAGCTGTTGTTACAAATGGAATTTCAGATTTACAAGCCCATACTGATAACGATGATCATGTGTCTTTTTGGCATCCTTTGCTATCAGGTAATAAACCGTTAGATGATTTTCCCTAATATATTTGGTACAAAGGCCAAGCCACCATTCTTGTCAGTTGGATATCTCATATCGACTAAATATATGGTCAAATTATAATATATTAGTGAGTGAAAAGTTCATCTTAGAAGCCAATTTTGTAGGTTGAATTAGACTTAAATCCACATTGTAAAATGATATCAAAACCTATCATAGTGAGGCTTGTTGGGCCAATCATACCACCCATTATGAGGCCACTATCAATTCTTGGCATGAGGGGTGTGTGTTGGAGATCTCACGTTAAATAGATAAATAACTGAATTATAGTATATAAGCAGGCAGGAACCTCATCTTACAAGTTAATTTTATAGAGTTGAGTTAGGCTTAGAATCTGCATTCTAAAATTGTCCAATAAATGACTGAATTCTGGTTGATTGATTTTATAAATCTCAATTATAGTATATTAGTATGTGTTTTCATATTAACTTTTTGAGTAAAATCTTGAGTAATGCATTTTGTCAACACAATTTCTTGCATTTCTCTTGTTAGATGTAGAAAATAAATGTATCTTTAGCTCCAAGTTAGTGTGAAAAAGCAAACATATATTAGTGATGTTACCACATTCTGTGCAGCAGTGAGATAACCTAAATCTGCATAAGGATATTTCAGGCAATTTTTTTGGATCGATCTTGCCTGTCTTTCTGCTTTAAGTTAATATTTTGATATTTCATTGCAGGGTTATCAAAACTAACTTCTGATCCAAGATCTGCTATCAGAAAGAGTTCTTTGGAGGTTCTTTTTAACATTCTAAAGGATCATGGTCATCTATTCTCCCACACATTTTGGAATAGCATTTTCTGTTCTGTTATTTTCCCTGTATATAACTCAGTATCTGGAAAGAGAGAGGTGAATCTACAAGAAGCCCATTGTTCACCCTGTTCAGTATCTGTGCATAATGAAGGAAGCACATGGGATTCTGAGACTTATTCAGCAGCAGCAGAATGTTTAATAGATTTATTTGTCACCTTCTTTGATGTGGTGAGGTCTCAGCTACCAGGTGTGGTGTCAGTACTGACAGGGTTCATTAGAAGCCCTGTTCAGGGTCCAGCTAGTACTGGGGTTGCCGGAATAGTACGTCTCACAGATGAGCTTGGTAACAAGCTTTCAGCAGAAGAATGGAAAGAGATTTTTCTGTGTTTGAAAGATGCAGCTATGTCAACAGTACCGGGATTCATGAAGGTCTTGAGAACTATGAATAATATTGAGGTGCCTCACTATTCACAGCCTTCCACTGATTTGGAAAGTTCTTCTGATCATGACTTGACAAATGATGAATTTGATGATGACAATCTGCAAACGGCCACATATGTTGTGTCAAGAACGAAGAACCATATTGCTATGCAGCTACTTATTGTACAGGTTTACTTATTGCTCTTGTTGTATGTATACAAGTAAAAAACTAAAACACAAGCACTAAATTTCCTAGTATTTGATCTATATTGTAATCCATTTTTTTCTTAGTTCTTTCATGAAAAACAGATTTAAAGACTTGTGTAGTTCTGCTTGATATGAGTTTATCCTCAAAATGAGTTCATCTTGATGATATTTTTCTGTGTTCCATTTGCAGGTTGCAACGGATCTGTACAAAAAGCACCAGCAATTCTTATCTGCAGCCAGTATCAAAGTCCTTATTGAATTATATTCATCTATTGCTTTACATGCTCGTGAGATAAACAGAGAGTCAATCCTACTGAAGAAGTTGCAGAAAGCTTGCTACATCCTGGAAATATCTGGCCCTCCCATGGTTCATTTTGAAAATGAGTCCTTCCAGAATCACCTCAACTTCTTACAAAATTTACATCTCCATAATCATTCTGTGCATGATGAGATAGACCTAGAACAAGAGTTAGTAGCTGTGTGTGAACAGGTATTGGACATATACCTGAATTGTGCTGGTTCCATTTCCACTTTGCACAAGTCTGATACCTTGTCTGCACCACATCGAAAACTCCCTCTGAGTTCAGCAAAGAAGGAAGAGATAGCTGCTAGGTCATCTTTAGTCATCTCAGCATTGCAAGGGTTAACTGGTCTGAAAAAAGATTCATTCAGGCGGTATATTCCACAGTTCTTTCACTTACTGGTTGATCTTGTGAGGAGCGAACACACCTCTGGAGAAGTTCAACATGCCCTGAGTAATATTTTCCGTTCATCTGTTGGCCAAATTATAATGGACTAAATTTTTAGTTTTGGCATACTTTGATTTTGGATGTTGCTGAATATCAATCAGCATTTTCCGTACAAGCTGGAGAACGAGCCAAAACATGGTCATATCTTGATTTACTCACCATTGTTGTGTAGTTTTATCCTTGGTTTTTTGTGATTATATGTGCCATTAATGTAAATGAGAAATTTATTTGAAGAGGAATACCGAGGTACCAGATTTACTAAACGAGCTGTCAAGGACTTTTTAAGACTTTAGCACCTTTTATCTTTGTAAAGTGATGTTTAAGGCTATGACGTAGGAATTAAGTATAATTAATAATCTTACTTTTTATATTGTTATAGGATTTCTTATTGTATCATTTATTTAACTTACTGGTTAATTTTTTTACAATCTGAGTCAGATTCCATGAGATAAAGATACAATCACAAAAATAATATTTAATTATTTTAAATTTTAATTGACATAAAAAATATTTAAAAGAAAAAAAAGCTGACAGTAAAAAATAGCAGAGATAGGATTAGTTGAAAAAAGATAATATTTAAATAATTTAGAAAGCCTTTTAGTCTAAATAGAATGATCTATTAGGATATTTGCTTAACTGATGTAGACAATGTCTAATTCTTACAAAGTTTCAATAATAACATATTAGGGTCATATTTTATGGTTACTGACCTCCTCCCTTTTATGGTATGCGGTAATTATTCTTTTGTCATGATTTGGTGAATTAGATTTTACTTGAGTTTCTATCACACTCCATTATGATATATATATATATATATATATATATATATATATATATATATATATATATATATATATATATATATATATATATATATATATATATAGTATGCACTCTAGTTGTGGTATAGGCCGATTCTCTCGCATAAAAAAAGCTGTTTAAACTTAAAAGTATATTGGCTGAAAAACTAGATAGTTAAGTCTCCCCAATTGGGTTGCTTGAAGCATAATAGACAAGTCTAGATCACATTAGTCGATTCAAATCCTGGTGATTTAGTGTGAAGTAACAAAGCTGCGTACTTTGTTTATGTAACTGTTTATTCTCTCTGAATTCATATTTTTTGAAAATTGATCTTTTCTAATAGAATTTTTTTTATTAATTAAACATTACCTAAGAGTCTTTGAGGGTAGATGAGCATTGGTAAACCGGTTTAGGTGGTAAGACCAGTAAGTGGAAATAAAACCTGTGGTATTCCCGAGCATCTTAGACCTTGACCTTAGGATGACAAAATTAATAAAACTTTTATCTAAAGGAAATGAAAAGTTTGAAGAAAATAAGAATACAAAAAAAGAAACCAATAACATGAACATAGTACACCATGAATTAATTATTCCTGAAATAGAAAATCAACTTAATAAATGGACTCTTCCAAAACTCAAAATATCAACTATTTATAAAACAAATTGGAAAGACATGTTTAAATCTGAAAGTCTTCATAACTACTAGATAATTACCCAAATTATTCGATAGCTCTTAAAAGTCTTCATAATACGAAAAATAATATACTACTAGATATCAAAATCCCAAAAAATGTATGAAATCCAAAATCAATACCTATAACTATAATATATAGGATTTATTATAAAATAATGAAAATTCAATTGGCACCTGGAGCCTTATTAATACCAAAAACCTTAAAACACACTAAAATATCTAGTGGTCTTAGTTGGAGACTAGAAGACCTATTAGGCCCAGTCCAATCCATAATTCCAGAAAAAATTATAAAAATGTACCAAAAATATAAAAGTCTTACTCCCTATTACCCTCCACACCTAAGAATCATAAAATTTTGCTCAACTACGGGAATAAGTTGGTTGTTGGCCCACATTCCCGAAATCCATCAACACAAAGAAGAAACCTACCCTAAAACTCTCTGCTTAAAAACAAAGGTTTTTTTGGTGGAAAAAATTTGAAACCCAATACGTAGAAGAAAAATTTGAAAATTGGAAGAAAATGGACCTTATTACACAAAAAAGCCCAATCCAAAAAGAAATTTCATCCACAAGAGAAAAAAGAAAAGTCATTATAGATTTCCAAACTCCCCGCATCAAAAGAAGAAAATGTCCAATTAAAACAGAAAATGCTTGAAGTATTGTCTTCACTAGGCTCAGATGAAGAAAAAGACGAAGAAAGCGAAGCCATTGTCAACCTACAAGATGCTCAAGATCCTTATGAAGATGAAGAAGATATTAATTTTGCTCAATTTTAACAATCAATCCCAAAAGAATTAAAGAAGAAGATTATTGATATCATGCAAAGAACATCAACTAAAGAAAAGTTACAAAGGAAGATTAATCAAATTATGAGAAAATTAGAAGAAGAAGATCTTCGAGAGCTCACCTTCTAAACAACATCTTAGTAAGAAGCTGGGCTTATTTGGCCCATCGCCCAATAGATGCTATGGTCCCACACCTCAAAATAGAGTATCTAAGTAAGTAGTTGGACTTATCTGGTCCTGTGCCCTTGGGTCCCATCCAGTTGAAGAACAACACACTTGTAATTATTCTATTTTGTTTTTAGCGACGGGCGCCAAAAATAAAGGTGTGTCAATTGTAATTGTTTTCTTTGTTGGTCACTCTTGTCTAAAGTATGCAAGTTGTAATCTTGAATAGTGGACCATTTACGCCTATAAAAGAATCAGTTGTTGGAGTAACATTTACAACCCTCTTCGAGCCTTAAACTCTACCTTCCTCAGTCAACTCCTTCATAGCCTAAGTTCTCAGCTTTTCCTTATCCTCGAATATCTTGAATATTGTAAGCTTTCTTTGAAAATTTTGTAATAATACTTCTGCATTTCTTTAGATCTTTAGTATCTTTCGCTTTCATGAGGTTAGTGATATTTTCATCTTCACTATTACTGATTTCTATTAAATTATTTATATATTCTTCTGATTCGTATAATAATATTTTTGCTATTTAATTTTTTACTTCTTCACTTATATCTAGGTTTTGTATCTTTTCTCGTATTCTACAATCTTTTTTCATATGTCCGTATCTTCGACATTTATAACAAATTATTCCTTTCTTTGAATTAGGTTGGTTACTACTTATAGGAGGTTTTGTTCTTATTTTACTTTTAAAGTTTCTAGAGATTTTTCTATTATTATTCTGAGAAAATTTTCTTTTGATTATTTGTTTTTGCTTATTTTTTCTAGAGGGAGGGTCTAACTTTTCATACTCATATTGAATGCAGAAATCTCCTAATTCTTTTGTACCACGTTCTTGTTGTCTTTTAATATGTTTTTCCAACTTTAGGTTATTATATATTTCCAAGGCAGTGTTCTTAATAGTCGAAATTATTTTTCCATATGTTATATTTTACAAAGGTTCAGGGTATTTTTGGGATAATTTTTCTGGTACTTTTATTGCAAATACTGGAGGTAATCCATCAATAAATCGTTCTTTCCAAAATGTTTCTTTACAGTCTGTTCTAGTCATTACCATGATTATGAAATTATCTACATACCATCTAAAGTCTCCTAGAGTGGGACATCTTAGATTATGTAGCATGGTACTAGTTTTTTCTTCAAATGTGTTAGAATCGCCCATAAAATTATGGATAATTGATATTATTAATGTTTCAACCATCAGAGGTATTTGTGTATTTCCTTCTTGTTTTACTGCTGTTAAAATAAATTGTCTTTGGTCTGCGGATAAGTAATTTTCCCACCATCCTTTTAGGGATCCAGTAAATCCTAGGATTAATAATTGTATCGTTTGTTCTTCTAAATTTTTTCCTCTATAGGCTGAGGCAGCCATGACCATTTCATTAGTTTTTCTTAATAATTGATAATCAATTAATCCATCTATGTTCCATTCTGTTATTCCTGTTCCATTAAAGGCGGATGGACTTTCTAAATTTCATTCTTCAAATTGTATATCTGGTAGGGTTGGTCTTCTATAGTAATTTCTAGTGGTTGGCATATTATGGGTAGTTGGATTTACATTAAATTTACTTCCTATTCTATTTATCTTTTCTTTATAATCTATATTTTCTAGGTTTCCTAGTTCTTCTTCTGGGATATCTATTACATTTAATTTTCTTACATTTAATTGCTCTAATTTTTTATTTATTTCTTCTAATATTCTATCTGATTGATTTCCTATCTTAAATTCTTTATCGGATAATATTATAGGGTTTATTAAAGATTTTTGTAGGTCAGTTATTCCTAATGGATTTTTATTATTTTGTAAATTTTCTTCTTCACTAATTTTTTGAGCTATTTGGTGTAATATTTGATTTGTAAAATTTAGCTGACTATTCAAGTTTTGAATATCATTTATGTTAGGAGTTTCACTGGTATTCCTTTTTTCTCTTATCATTTTGAAGGGTGATGTAATTACTTCTTTATTTTCAATGTTAGGAAATTTTACTTCTTCTAGAGGAGGGATTTTACTAATTATCTCTTTATTTTTTGTTTCCATATTTTTTCAGCATTTTGTAATACATTTATTAGTAAATTTTCTAAACAATTCTCTTCAAACCATTTTAAATACGGTATATTTTCTTGAATTAATTTTAAGTGATTATAATATTTTTCTCGGTATTCTTTTAATTCATTTTGACTAAAAGTCTTAAAAAACCATTCTCTCTTTTCTTGATTCTTTTCATCTAGAAATTCTTGTCTTAAAAGGTCTTTGTTTATTTCGAATTTGGTTATTAATTTATTATACTATCATCTTGATGTAATTCGAAGCAAAAGGAGATTATGGGTTTCTATATTTTCGTATTCTTATTCTGGCATTGGAATTGTAGGGTCTTGTTTTATTCCTTTTAATTTTAAACTTCTATGATGTATTAAACTAGATTGATCTACTAATCTTCTGGCTGTTACAAAAGTATTTCTACGGGATGTTCCTCTTAATGAATTTGCTCTTCTGATCGGGGCAAATGATACTTCTACTGTTCCTGATTTATATTCAGTTATATTTTCAACTTCGACTGGTTCTGGGGGTTCTGGTTCTAATAGGTCTTCTAGTCTCCAGCTAA